TCCTACCTCAAATCATGGTCCGGGAACTCCCCACCTAGATTCGGGACACAACCCACGCCCTCTACCTTTTCCAAAATTTTCAATTCCCAGGCCCCAAACCCTCATCTTCACTGTGGACATTCAGTCCCTGTGCATCTGTATCCCCCACAAGGATGGTCTAAAAGCCCTCCACTTCTTCCTCTCCCACAGGCTCAACCAGTCCCCCTCCAATGACACTCTCATTCGCTTGGCGAAACTGGTCCTCACTCTCAATAATTTTTCCTCCCACTTCCTACAAACCAAAGGGGGTGGCCATGGGCACCTGCCTGGGCCCAAGCTCTGCCTGCCTCTTTGTAGGATACATGGAACAGTCCCTCTTCTTTATTTTTCCTTTATTCATTCACAGGATGAGGGCGTTGCTGGTCAGGCAGCATTTATTGCCCATCCCTAATTGCCCAGAGAGCAGTTCAGAGTCAACCACATTGCTGTGGGTCTGGAGTCACATGTAGGCCGGACCAGGTAAGGGTGGCAGTTTCCTTCCCTAAAGGGACATTAGTGAACCAGATGGGCTTTTCCTGAGAATTGACAATGGATTCACGGTCGTCATTAGATCCTTAATTCCAGATATTTTATTGAATTCAAATTCCACCATCTTCCGTGGTTGGATTCAAACCCGGGTCCCCAGGACATTATCTGGGTCTCTGGATTAATAGTCCAGCAATAATACCACTAGGCCATCACCTCCCCCATACTATACCGGCACCATCCCTCACCTCTTCCTCCGCTATGTTGATGACTGTATCGGTGCTGCCTCGTGCTTCTGCAAGGAGTTTGAACTGTTCATCATCTACGCCACACCTTCCACCCTCCCCTCAAATTAACCTGGACCATTTCTGACACCTCCCTCTCCTTCCTGGGCCTCTCTGTCTCCATCTCCAATAACTGACTCACCACTAACATCTATTTCCAACCCACTGACTCCCATAGTTACCATGTCTACACCTCCTCTCACCCACCCTCCCAAACAAAATGCTATCCTGTACTCACAATTCCTCTCTGATTTCTCTTCACAGGTACTGCCAAACCTGCTGAGCTTTTACAGCAATTTCTGTTTTTGTTTCTGGTTTCCAGGATTCGCAGTTCTTTCAGAATTTAAACAGTGAATCGTGTTTATGCGAGGAGCACATTCAGCCCATAGAGTATTACTAACTCTTTGAAGAACCTAGCTCTGGCAAGTGCTAGTTCTTTAATATTGCATTAGTGTTCACAAAGATGCCCAGACAGTTCTCATGGATGTGAAAAAAAGCCAACAACAATTAAGTCAAGGAAATGAAAAGCTGATATAAACTTATCATCAATATTGCAAAATACAGATTCGAATGACGAATTGAACAGTGCTTTAAATAAATAGATTGCAGTGATCTAGCCACACCGTGTGAGACCTTCCTCAGATCCAGCGTTCGATACAGAGTAAAGCTTCCTCGACGTTTTTATAAAATGAAACATAGAAATACAAAGGATAGGAGCAGGAGGAGGCCATTTGGCCCTTCGAGCCTGCTCCACCATTCTTCACGATCATGGCTGATAATCCAACACAACAGCCTAATCCTGCTTTCTCCCCATAACCTTTGATCCCATTCACCCCAAGTGCTGTATCTAGTCGCCTCTTGAATACATTCAATGTTTTGGCATCAACTACTTCCTGTGGTAATGATTTCCACAGGCTCACCACTCTTTGGGTGAAGAAATGTCTCCTCATCTCTGTCCTAAATGGTCTACCCCGAATCCTCATACTGTGACCCCTGGTTCTGGACACACCCACCATCAGGAACATCCTCCCTGCATCTACCCTGTCCAGTCCTGTTAGAATTTTATAAGTCTCTATGAGATTCCCCCTCATTCGTCTGAACTCCAGCGAAAACAATCCCAACCTTGTCAATCTGTCCTCATACGTCAGACCCGCCATCCCCGGAATCAGCCTGTTAAACCTTCGCTGCACTCACTCAAGAGCAAGAACATCCTTCCTCAGAAAAGGAGACTAAAACTGCACACAATATTCCAGGTGTGGTCTCACCAAGGCCCTGTATAACTGCAACAACACATCCCTGCTCCTGTACTCGCAACCTCTTGCAATGAAGGCCACATACCATTTACCTTCTTTACTGCCTGCTGCACCTGCATGTTTACCTTCAGCAACTGGTGCACAAGGACACCCAGATCCCTCTCCCAATTTACAGCCAATCAGGTAGTAATCTGCCTAATGCTTCCAAAGTGAATGACCTCCCATTTATCCAAATTATACTGCATTTCCGAGGCAGTGAGCTGTATAAATAGAGTCCATGGACGGAAGGTTGGCTCCTGTGATTGTCTGGTCTGTACCTACCACCTTCTGTAGTTTCTTACGGTCCTGGGCAGAGCAGTTGCCATACCAGGCCGTTATGCACCCAGACAGTGTGTTTTCAATGGTGCATCTGTAGAAGTTGCTTAAGGCCCCTATGGACATGTCAAATTTCCTGAGCTACCTGAGGAAGAAGCAGCGTTGTTGTGCCTTCTTGGCTGTCACGTCAATGTGAGAAGTCCAGGACAGGTTGTCAGCTTTCGTCACTCCAAGGAACTTGACACTCTCCATCCCCTCAAACTCAGTTCTGTTGATGTAGATGGGAGCGTGTCCTTCTCCTTTCTTTCTGAAAACAATGATCAGTTCTTTAAGTTCGCTGATGTTGAGAGAGGTTGTTCTCATTGCACCATGTCACTAAGCATTCTATCTCCCTTTTGTTTTTTTGACTCCTCGTCTCATCTCAGTCCTAAAAGATTTGCCCCCTCTCCTTAAACTGTGACCCCTTGTTCTACCCCCTCCTCCCACCCCATAGGATACATCCACCCTGCATCTATCTTGTCTAGTCCTGTGAGAATTTTATAAGTTTCTGAAATCTCCCCTCATTGTTCTAAACTCGAGGGAATACAATCCTAACTGACTGAATCTCTCCTTTTACATCTGAACTGCCGTCCCAGGAATCAATTTGATAAGCCTTCTCTGTAGTCCCTCAATAGCAGGAATATCCTTCCTTAGATAAAGAGGCCAAATCTGTGCGTAATATTCCAGATGTGGAAAGATATTAATCCGGAAAACCATGTAATGTTCTGGGAACCAGTGTTCGAATCCCACCATAGCAGTTGCTGGAATTTGACTTCAATAATAATCTGGAAATAAGAGTGAAATGATAACCAAGAAACCATTGCCAATTGTCAGGAAAAATCCAACTAGTTCACTATTGTCCTTTAGAGAAGGAAATTGCCATCCTTACTGGTCTCTAGACTCACATCAATGTGAATGACTGACTCTTAACTGCCCTCTGGGTAATTAGGGACGGGCAATAAATGCTTGTCTAGCCAGAGACACCCACATCCTATGAATGAATATAACAGAGGGTGCAGAATGGATTCTGGGGATGTGGGTTGACTTTAATAACTGTCACCATCCACTGATCGAGCTGATAAAGTGCAAAAGGATACAGCTGCTAGACTATTTCTGCAGCAAGTGATTAGGGAACCAACAAGAGGGAAAATGTACTCGACCTTATCCTCACCAATCTGTCTGCTGCAGATACATCTGTCCGTGACAGTATTAGTAAGTGTGACCAATACACAGCCCATGTGAAAACGAAGTCCCGCCTTCACATTGAGAATAACCTTCATTGTGGCACTATCACTGTGCTAAATGGGACAGACTTTGCACAGATCTAGCAACTCAAGACTGGGCATCCATGATGCGCTGTGGGCCTACAATAACAACAGAAATGTACTCCAGCACAATCTGTAATCTCATGGCCCGGCATATCCTCCACTCAACCATCAAGTCAGGGGATCAACTCTAGTTCAATTGAGAGTGCAGGAGGGCATCCCAGGAGCAGCACCAGACATACCTAAAAAAAAAAGGAGGTGCCAACTTGGTCAAACTAACAAACTTGTGTGCCAAACAGCATAAGCAGCAAATGATAGACAGAGCTAAGGGATTCCATGGACAAAAGAGCAGAATTCCAGTGGTGAGGTGAGAGCAACTGCCTTTGACTTCAAGGCAATATTTGACTGAGTGTGGCATCAAGGGGCCCCTGCTCTAATTATTGGGAATTGAGGGGTGAAAGCTCTCCAGTTTTTGGGGTCATACCTGGCACATAGGTTGTGGTTGTTGGAGGTTTGTCATCTCTGCTCCAGGACATCTCTGCAGAAGTTCCTCAGAGTAGTTTCCTCGGCCCAACCACCTTCAGTGTTTCATCAATGACCTTCCCTGCAACATAAGGTGGGAATGAACTTGCAAGTTCCCTCCAAGCCACTCACCATCCTGACTTGGAAATATTATTGCCGTTCCTTCACTGTCGCTGGGTCAAAATCCTGGAATTCCCTTCCTAAGGGTATTGTGGGTCTACCTACAGCACATGGTCTGCAGCTGTTCAAGAAGGCAGCTCACCCCCACCTTCTCAAGGGGCAACTAGGGACGGGTAATAAATACCAGCCAGCAACGCCCAGATCCCATGCATGAATTTCTTTAAAAAATGAAATCCTTCCCCCTCTGTTTTCCTTTTCCTGTTTTCAATCTAAAATGCCCCCGAATGGAGATGTTTGTTTTATTGCTAGTCTGTTAAAGTTCAACCCAGAACCGAGGCTGTAAGTGAGGAATTTGGACTTATTCTTGGTTGTGTGGCCTTGACTGTGCAAAAATATCTTTAAAAGGCATAAAGTAAATCTAATATCCATAGGCTTCTGATTTGTACTGAAATATTCCTTATAAACTAATCAATAGTGCGATAGTCGGTTGAAGGATTTGTCTGGGAGAGAGTGGGGGACACAGACAAGAGGAACACATCTGAACATTGTTACTGAATTCACAGGCAATGACCAAGCAAACAAGTAACTATCACTGTTCCAACAAGCACAACAGGCCAGTCCACTCCAGTCTTTGAGCTGAATATTGGCACATGTTGCAGTTCTACTGCTATTGTCACAGGCTGTAGTTTCCTTTGGAAATGCACAGGAAAGCTCACTCACTGTCTTTTGTTGCCCAGCTGCGGGGTTACAGGCCGGTTGGTTTGCTTTCCCACCCAGTAAACCCGGGCAAGAATTTGGGCATCGTGAGGACCGTAGCAAGTATTGTGTCTGGAGCTAAGACTTCAGCGTAAGGAATTTTATTTCACTTTTGAGTCATGTCTGAAAGGTTCCATGTTCCAACCCCCAGTGAGTGCTTATCATCTTCCTTTCTGCAGCCAAGTCAGAGAACGGTTGAAGAATGAAGTGATTCAGATGAAGGAACAGGCTCCTGGCTTTCGGCCTGGGCTGGCTATTTTGCAGGTGAGTGTCAAATCTTCGTTCATTTGGAGAAAATCTTTATCACTCTTGTCAGGCTCTGTATTCCAAATATTCAAGTGAATTGGTTTTGCAGCAGAGGGGGGAGAGTGTAGTGGTTGTGCCAGTCAGGTCTAAAAGTGGCACTGAAAAACCCAGGATGGCTGCTAATGTGCCATTTGCCAGGAAGGCTATCAAAAGGAGAGGAATATTCGGAAAAGAAGCGGAACGTTGAGACTTGGGAGTGTTAGTGGGAGAAGGAGCAGTTGTGAACAACACACACGAGTCAGCTGTGAGGAGAGAGTGAGGTTGTTTTTTATGCATTTGTTTGATGTGGGCGTCTCTGGCTCGACCAACATTTTATTGCCTGTCCCTAATTGTCCGTGAGAAATATGACTGACTGGGAGAGGGTGTGACTCTGTAAATTGAATCTGAGTTCACTGCCCGTGCAGTGATTTAAGCTCCCATTCCCTGCCATTGAATAGCTGAGTGGGTGTGTTTGTGCTGTTGACAACACCTCTGTGATGTGTCATTTGGTCTACGCTGTTGTAAATAAAGCAGGAGGAGATCAGCTTGGATCCAATTCCACTAGTTCCATAGTGCCGGCTAAAGGAAAGAAGGATTTGCCTTGTTGATATATACCCCTACGTCCAACGCAGAGTGAATGAGGCTGTGCTATCATCGTTGTTCTGTTTGTGAACCTATCTTGCGCACATATCATAATGAAACCCAGCGTAACGACCCATTCCTGGCAGGAAAGGGGGCTGAACGGATTAGGCCTATCTCCATTGGAGTTTAGAAGAACGAAACATGATCTTATTCAAATGTATAAGATTCGGAGCAGATTGTATAGAGTTAGGGGAGAACGTATGCTCTTTAGGACGAGACCAAAACTAAGGGACACAATCAGAGATCTTCCTTTTAGGACAGGAATGAAGATTTTATTTTCTTTCAGAAGGTGGTTAGAGCGTGAAATTCTCTTTCACCAATAGATAGTGAAGGCTAGAAGAAAGTTAGCTCTTTGCTTATTTCAGAAGAGTATAAGAATTAGGAGCAGGAGAAGGCCATGTGTCCCTTCAAGCCCACTCTACCATACAATAAGGTTATGGCTGATCTCACTGTGGTCTCAACTCCATTTACTGGTCTGTCCCCCATAACTCCTCACTTTCTTGTCTGTCAAAAATCTTTGGGTGGTGGAGCATGGATTGTGTTATGAAGTACACCCTGAGAATTTGCCTCTCTAAGGTTCCAGTAAATGGATTGGGAGGGGTGTGGCTTCAGGTATTGGAACAATATCTATCCAGGGCTGCAGTGAGTTTGCAGCATTTTCTATCTTGGTGCAGGTGTTTGGTGGGAGCCCAGATATTGATTGCTTGTGCTCAGACAGCAGGACGGGGTTGTATACTGGGATGTGATGATTCTGTGATGATGTGATGTTTTTTATTGAGACTTTTGTTTGTGAGATGTGGTGGAGCTGCCGTTCTGTAGGAACTCACTGGGACACCAAACATTTCCAGCTTTGGTGCAGTACAGTTGGTGCTGTCCATCAAGACCACCTTGGAAACCAAGTGAAGACTTTTGTTAGGCCTCACTGGGGTAGTGCGCTGGGAATCAAGCCTCATTATTCACAGAGTTGCCACAAAGTTTGAAGATTTTATAAAGTTATGCAAAATTCCATGATTTACCTGTCTTTTGGATCCATGTTAACGGAAAGCATGGACCAGGTTTCTGTACTAAACAAGAATTATTAGTTATTACAAAGAAGTAGATCCTCGTTACAAGTAAATTATGAACTGTTGTCACCATAACTGGCAGGAGTTTCTACGAGTAATTCAGGAGACACAGCAAAAATTCATCCCTAGAAAAAAGAGGCATGGTACAGGGATGATGAGGCACCCATGGCTGACTAAGGAAGTCAGGGATAGCATAAAAGAAAAAGGGAAAGCATATAATGTGGCGAAGGGCAGTGGGAAACCAGAGGATTGGGAAGCTTACAAAGACCAACAGAGGGCAACAAAAAAAGAAATAAGGAGGGAGAAGATTAAATATGAGGGTAAGCTAGCCAGTAATATAAAGGAGAACTGTAAGAGTTTCTTTAGATATATAAAGGGCAAAAGAGAGGCAAAAGTGGACATTGGACCGCTGGAAAATGACAGTGGAGAGATAGTAGTGGGAACATGGAAAAGGCTGACGAACTGAATAATTACTTAGTGTCAGTCTTCATGGTGGAAGACACGAGTAATCTCCCAAAAATTCAAGAGAGTCAGGGGGCAGAGCTGAGTATGGGGGCCATCATCAAGGAGAAGGTGCTAGAAAAACTGGCCTGAAGGTGGATAAATCCCCAGGACCAGATAGACTACATTTCAGAGTTCTTAAGGAGATAGCTGAAGAGATAGTGGAGGCGTTAGTGGTGGTCTTTTCAGGAATCGCTAGAGTCAGGGAGGGTCCTAGAGGACTGGAAAATCGCTAATGTGACACCGCTGTTTAAAAAGGGAGTAAGGCAAAAGACTGAAAATTACAGGCTGATTAACCTAACCTCGGTCGTGGGTAAGATTTTGGAGTCCATTGTGAAGGATGAGATTTCTAAATACTTGGAAATGCACGGTAAAACAGGGCAAAGTCAGCATGGTTTCATCAAGGGGAGGTCATGCCTAACAAATCTGCTAGAATTCTTTGAGGAAGTAACGAACAGGGTAGACCAAGGAGAGCCAATGGATGTTATCTACCTGGACTTCAAGAAGGCCTTTGACAAGGTGCCGCACAGGAGGCTGCTGAGTAAGATAAGGGCCCATGGTGTTAGCGGCAAGGTGCTAGCATGGATAGAAGATTGGCTGTCTGGCAGAAAGCAGAGAGTGGGGTTAAAAGGGTCTTTCTCAGGATGGCAGCCATGACAAGTGGTGTTCCGCAAGGGTCAGTGCTGGAACCACAACTTTTCACTTTATACATTAATGATCTAGATGAAGGAACTGAGGACATTCTGGCTAAGTTTGCAGACGATACAAAAATTAGGCCAGTCAGCCCATCAAGTCTGCTCTGCCATTCAATCATGGCTGAGAAATTTCTCAACCCCATTCTGCCACTTTCTCCCCGTAACCCCTGATCCCCTTGACAATCAAAGACCCTATTTATCTCCGTCTTAAATGTACTCAATGGTCTCCACGGCCTTCTGTGGCAGTGAATTCCATAGATTCACTGCTCTCTGGCTGAAAAAGTTTCTCCTTATCTCCGTTCTAAAAGGTCTTCCCTTTACTCTAAGGCTGTGCCCTCGGGTCCTAGTCTCTCCTACCAATGGAAGCATCTTCCCAACATCCAGTCTGTCCAGGCCATTCAGTTTTCTGTACGTTTCAATTAGATATTAGAGACCCAGAGTCCTCAAACACTCTTCATATTTTAAGCTTTTCATTCCTGGGACCATTCTTGTGAACCTCCTCTGAACCCAGTACATCTTCCCTGAGATGTGGGGCCCAAAATTGCACACAATACTCCAAATGTGGCCTGACCAGAGCCTTATAGAGCGTCAGAAGTATATCCCTGCTTTTATATTCAAGTCCTCTCAAAATAAATGCCAAAGTTGCATTTGCCATCCTAACTGCTGACTCAACCTGCAAGTTTACCTTGAGCGAATCCTGGACTAGAACTCCCAAGTCTCTTCACCCTTCAGACTTCTGAATTTTCTCCCCATTTAGAAAATAGTCCATACCTCTATTCTTCTTACCAAAGTGCATGACCTCACACCTTCCCACGTTGTACTCCATCTGCCACTTCTTTGCCCACTCTCCTAACCTGTCCAAGTCTATCTGCAGCCTCCCTGCTTCCTCAATACTACCTGTCCTTCCACCTATCTTTGTGTCATCTATCTGATGGCTCCTGCCCAAATATACACAGCCACCAGCTGTTCAGTTACCTGGGAATCAATGCCAGGCGCAAGGCCTTTGTCATCAACAAATGGTTACCTCTCGACAGACCAATCAACTACTTGTTACTGAACCTCCCTTCATACACACCCACTGGTTCCAGCGCGTCTGCAGTAACCTCCCCCACAGCTTGAACAAGCAGCTGTGTAAACAGTACTGACAATGAGGGTCAGGTAACATTAAAAGTACAGCAATCCTTGTTTGTTAAAACTGTCCTTTTTCCCATTTCAGTCCTCAATCAGAGATATTGAAAGTAAGAAGATACAATCATAAAATCCAAATATTCTTTCATAATGGACATAAGCAACTATAGAGGGTACTTGTGGCATAGTGACAATGTCACTACCCTGGAACAGGAGGTCTGGGTTCAAGTCCCACCTGCTCCGGAGGTGTGTAATAACATCTCTGAACAGGTTGATTAGAAAAATAAGTTAAATTTTAAAAAAAACTCGCAACTGCTGTGAAAACTTTCATTCAATCAACCCGGGTCCTGAAAGTGATGGACCTCTGGGGCCGTACTGTGCTGTCAGTAAAGTTCATGAAGTTATATCTTTCTTTCAGATTCTAATTAATATCTCACTTCTTTTCAATTCTTTCCTTCTCATAACCAACCCCATCCCCATCTCTCTACCCCCCGCCCCCCCACCAGCGTTTCCTTTAGCTTTCTCTTTCATTTCTTTGTATCTTCTCATGTTCCCTTACTAGGTTGGAGACAGAGATGATTCAAACCTGTACATCAGTATGAAGCTGAAGGCTGCAGCTGAGGTATGAATCGATTAATTCTGTTAAACGTGCTCCACATGGATAATCTTTCTCTGCATATATGAAGTTCCTTTTTTTTTTCCCTCGCCTCTCTCGATCCTGTTCCCATTTAATCCAATTCCCTCTCCCTGTAAATCGAACTTGAAAGGCAGAAATGTTACATTAAACCTACAGAATCTCGATTTGATGGCACTTTGGGCACTGTCCATTTCTGGTCTCCATATAACGAAAGGTCAGTGGGGAAGGTGCAGAAACATGAATGAAGCAAGACTGGGAGGGTAGGGCTCATTCTAGGAAAGAGAAATTGTGCAGTAATGGAATCTTTATAGGGCAGCACAGTGGCTCAGTGGTTAGCACTGCTGCCTCAAAGTGCCGGGGCCCAGGTTTGATTCCACCGTTGGGCGACTGTCTGTGTGAAGTTTGTGCATTCTCCCCGTGTCTGCATGGATTTCTGCTGGGTTCCCTCCCACAGTCCAAAGATTTGCAGGTTGGGTGGATTAGCCATGGGTAATACAGGGTTACAGGGATAGATAAGGAGAGGTGAGTCTGGGACGGATGCTCTTCAGAGGGTTGGGGTGGACTTTATAGGCCGAATGGCCTGCTTCCACACTGTTGGGATTCCATAATTCTGTAACTGTGAAAGGGTTCAATAGGGTAAACACAGAAGGGATGTCTGCATTTACATGGGAGACTAAAACTAGATGTCATACATCTTCGCCATTAATAAATGCAGAAGGAAATTCCGAAGAAATCAGGGAGCAATTAGAATGTGGAACTTGCTACCCCGAGGATTATTTCAGGTGGAACAACACAGATGCATTTAAGGGAAAACTGAATAAAGACATAAGGGAGAAAGGGATAGAAGGATATACCAATAGGGTCAGATCAAGTAGACTGGGAACATAGCTGTTTCTAGCATGGATTAGTTGGGCAGAATGGCCCATTTCTGTGCTGTATGTTTTAAGAAATCCCCTGAATGCTGTGTCCTAGCTGTAGTCGAAGATGTGAGACGGAAATCCAGCTGGTGAGTGCCTCCCTGTCTCTCTGCTCCCCTGCGTTTGCTGTTTATCCAAGATCTGAGCTTGGGTAGCAGGCATCTGAAAGACCTTAAAAACACATGCCCTACTTTTCCATGATGGTGTATATCAAGACGACTGTAGATTCACCACGCAGTGTTTGAGTTTTGTTATCGGTAAAACTCAACTGTTCAGTGTGACTGTCTGTGATAGAGCTGATATTTATTTTATCCTCTAGATTGGGATGAATGCGAACCATGTGAAACTGCCAAAAACGGCCACTGAAGATGAGGCAAGTACAGTTTCTACGTTCTTTATCCCCAGTGGTTCTTTCTCTGCACACACCCTGAAGATCACCGATCTTGGTATCAGTGTCAGTGCACCGTGACTGCTTCTTTCTCTTCTGTGCTGTGCTTTGCCTTGCCTCATGTGAGAGTTCAGATGTTCACTATCAGCAGATAGTACCAGTAATACATTATAAATCCAGAGTAGGAATTGAGTTGGGTTTAACCCCACCCTTACCCACAAACCAAACTGAACATTGTAGTCCAGTGGAGACTGGCTTACACAACATAAACTCTGGCAGTTTTATGTTTGTTCCGTAATTTTCCCCCAAACTGAGCAGGTTATTCCAAGGTCACCTTCTTAAAGAGTTTCACTTTGACTTCCTCACTTCAGACAGTAACTGGGTATTTGCCCTTGTCAATTGCAACATTCCTGTTTTTACTCGCTCATGGCTGTAGGGGTCACTGGTTGGTCTGAAGTTTATTGCCTGTACCTTGTTACCCTTGAGAAGGTGGGGGTGAGCTGCCTTCTTGAACTGCTACAGTCCATGTGCTGTAGGTTGACCCACAATACCGTTAGGGAGTGGGTTGCAGGATTTTGACCCAGCGCCACTAAAGGAACAGCGATTATATATCCAAGTCAGGATGGTGAGTGACTTGCAGGGGGTGGTGTTCCCATGTATCTGCTGCCCATGTCCTTTTAGATGGAAGTGGTCATGGGTTTAGAAAGTGTTTTGAAGTATAGATTGTAGATTTTTTTCATACTGCCACAACTGAGTATTGGTGGTGGAGGGAGTGGATGCTTGTGAATGTAGTGCCAATCAAATGGGCCACTTTGTCCTGGATGGTGTCAAACTTCTTGACCATTGTTGGAGCTGCCCCCTTCCAGGCAAGTGGGGAGTATTCCATCACACTCCTGACTAGTGCCTTGTAGGTGGTGGGCAGGCTTTGGGGAGTCAGGAGGTGAGTTACTCACCGCAAGACTCCCAGCTCTTATTTGGTTGATCCAGTTCAGCTTCTGGATAGTGGTCATCATCAAGGTGTTGATGGTGCAGGATATACTTTTGTTTGACATTGAACCCCTCCTCCTAATCCCAGAGCAAAGACGCTTTGAGAATTGTTGCTAATTTCAAGAGGAAAAAAAATCTCCTCATATGATGATTATGTTTAAGACTTTGCAGGGGAGCCCTGTGGTGTCTGGAGTGGCAAGTATACTTGCTGTCTTGGTTATATTTTAGTCATCGTGGCAATTGACTTGTTTTTCACATGTATAGGTGCTGAGGAAAATTACCCACATTAATGAGGACCCCAACGTACATGGTTTGATTGTTCAACTGCCTTTGGACTCCATTAACCCAATTGACGTTGAGAAAGTAACAAATGCAGTTTCCCCTGAGAAGGATGTTGATGGGTAAGGATTAACTGTTTCTGTGTAAGTCGTGGGATGCACACAAGCTTAAGAGTTTTCAGCACAGGCCAGTGAATTATGATCCAAAAGGGAGGGCACATCCCTCTCTTATCACAGGGTGGTTCGTTGTGCCCTAGTGATTGCCCTGGGGAGGGGGTTGCTGAATAACGTGGTTGGTCAACTTGAGCGAAACCTGGAATCGAACCAGGATCTCCTTTTCTCTCCGGCTCTCTGTGGTACAGCTATCTCCTGAGCTAACCAATAAAGAGAAGTTGGGTGCTGTGAGGAAATGTTTCTGGCAAAAAATGCTCTTCATTTTTAGAGAAAACACAGATTTGTGCAAGAATCCCAGGTATTTCTTCAGACAAAACATGCTCAGTGTTCAGCTGTTCCATTATTACTGAGAAAAGAGAGCGCCCTGTACCTAATTTCCTGACCTTCAGACATCAAGAACGTCTGTGAAATATAGTCTGGTTGTGATGTAGGAAGTGCACAGCCAGTTTGCTCACAGCAAGCTCCCATGACCTGCGCTGTGATAATAATCATTAGTTGTTTTGTCTTTAAACTAATATTTGGTTGCAAGGAAAACTCCTCTGTTATTCTTTGAATTACGGAGAGAATCTAATCTGTCCACCTTAGCAACAAGGATTGGAGTCTGAGCTAGTAGGAACTGCAGATGCTAGAGAATCGGAGACAACAAGGTGCAGGGCTGGATGAACACAGCAGGCCAAGCAGCATCATA